TTCTGTACGTGGTTTATCATCCAAAGGTGTGTCATAGTGACTGCACACACAAAATGTTGAAAAGCAATCAGTTTTGTAGACTAAAGCAAGCTATTATGTATGGGAAAACAATCACTTACGGATCAGCCTTCAACCAGTCAGTGAGATCCTTCAATTTGGTCATGTTAACTGGTCTAAAAGGATTATAAACTGGAGCTTTGGCCTTTTTGGTTGGAATGATCACTTTGGCCGTGCTGTTTGTTGTTTAAGGAGATTTCTGTGAGGCATCAAGTTTCCTTGCTCATTCACTCTTCTCACGTTTAATTTCTGCGAAAGTGGTTTCCCTCTTCCCCTGAAATCTAGCTTGCTCCTTCACTAGATCTGAAACAGTGGGTTCTTGTTTCTCCAATCGTTCAAGGCTCGATTCTGGAGGAAGGCGGGATGGAAGGATCGATTCTGGAGGTTTTTCCTGGTTCGGAACTATACTCAGCTCTTTCGAGGAAGTAGCACCTACCTCTTCCTTTATCGCTTCACCTCCCTTGGGCAAACTCTTCTTTCCCGCGTTCGACCCATTTACACTTTCACATTCCCCCAGCATGATCCATTTCCCTTTTCTTGTTGCGAGAGGATACTTTACTAACCCCGGGTTCATGCTTTTTAGGTTGAGATTTTTGAGATTTTTGAGATGATGCCCCTTTCAGATTTTTGGTGATACCAAGGATCTTCTCCACAGCTTCCACCCTTTCAGATAGATACTTCATATCCGTAAGGCACTTCCCAAACCCTTGAGTCATGCCATCGAGTACGTCTTTCAAAGAATCCTTCAAAGAATCCTTCACGTTTCTTTCAATATCTTCTTTGGTCAACCCACCAACATTGGTACCCACCTCTGCCTCTTCCTCTTCCTCTTCCTCTGCGTCTTCCTCTTCCTCTTCATCTTCCTCTTCCTCTTCCTCTACCTCTGTAGGTAGCCCCTCAATATGCTCTTTACGATCTTTCTTACGAGGTCTTAGAGTCTCTTCTTCACCAGAACTATCGCTTTCTTTGCTGCCGGCCTTGTCTTGACCCAAGAACCGGTGACTTCCCAGCAGTCCATGGTCTGATTCCATGGTTTCTTTATATACATGAGTTTTATTATGTTCTCCGCGGCCGAGTCTTCAGCATCAGAGTCCCATTTTGGAAACATTTCACCAATGCCCTTCTCAAGAAAGTTAATCACCCTAGTCTGCAGTAAATAGAAGATATAAACTTAGATATTGGCGGATTAAGAAAGATGGAAAGAAAAGATTTCGCAGAAAACTTATGATTAAGTCGTCTAGAAATTCTTCCAGCTGGACGACTTAGCAGACGACTTAAACATAAGTCGTCTGAAAAGTCTTCCAGCTGGATGACTTAGCAGACTACTTATTATTAAAACCGATCACTATCTACCTGAAAATTGCATGGATGCATGGGTAGACTTGTTTAAAGAGTATTTGCCAGAAGCCAATGAGTCTGCTGAATCTTATTATGAGATTCAGAAATTGGTTTATAGTCTTGGGTTTCCCTCGGAGATGATAGACATTTGCCTCGACAACTGCATGATTTACTGGGGAGATGATGAGCAGTTAGAAGAATGTCGATTCTGTAAGAAGCCACGATTCAAACCGCAAGGACGAGAACGAAATTGGGTATCGTACCAAAGGATGTGGTACCTACCAATCACAGATAGATTGAAAAGATTGTACCAATTTGAGGAGATTGCTGGAGGGATGAGATGGCACGCCGAGCATACTTAGACGGATGGTGAGATGACTCATCCATCAGATGCGAGAGTTTGAAAACATTTTAACAAAGTACATCCATGTTGTAGTTTTTAGTCCATTTGCTTTTTACATTCTTTTTTTTTTTTGACAACACAAAGATGTTTTTATTTATTTATCCTTTTTAATGCAATTAAGTAGACTTGATTAAATAATTAGCACATACTAGTAAATATATTAAAATGTCCTGATTGCAGACGATTATAGATATTTATAGTACGTCACATGCAGGGGCGAAGCTATTGTGCACTTGCACCCATAATTTTTTTCAAAAATTAAATTAATTATTAGATAATTTTAAATGTGCACCCATAATAATTTATAATTATGCACCACTCAAATTGATAACAAGTCTTAATGTAAAAAAAGTTAGCCCGCTAAAGATTAAAATTAACACTAAAGCCCAACCATAATCTCTACACTTTTGCTAAACCCTAAATAATATGTCTAAGTGACTCAAAATTTTTACGTGAAAAAATTTTCTTCGTGCAAGCCATCCAACAAACAATCTGAGAGAGTTCTCTTGTCTTGTCCACCATACAAAACTGGTAATTAATTAAATTCTTTTTATGTTTATTCAATTATGCTTTGAGTTGTTCCAAACTTCCAATTACTAATTCATGTTATGTTTCCGATTTTGCAGATTAATCAATGGAACGGTACTCCAAACCAGCATCAGTTTCATCATCTGGTACTTCCTTGCCATCTGACAATATTGATGATTTGTCGTGGGATCCTGCTAAAATAAAAAATATCAAGTATTATAATGTAAACCAAGTCGATGAGGTAAGACGCAAGTACCTTCTTAGAAGCCCGTGTCAACCACTTGGTCATAATTTTAAAAAGAAACTCATAAGTGGTAAAATGAGGCGATTCAATCCAGCTTGGTTTGGTTTGTACGGTAGTTTGCTAGAGTATAGTGTGTCGGAGGAAAAAGCTTATTGTTTGTGTTGCTACTTGTTTCGAGATGATGCATATCCTGGATTTGTGAGGGATGGGTTCTCGACTTGGAATAAGCCTGATAGGTTATCTTCTCATGTAGGAGAACTTAACAGTTCTCACAATAACGCTGTCAAGAAGTGTGATGATTTGATGAATCAAGGGCAATCCATAGTACATGCTATGTATAAGGAGACTGATGCAATGAAAAATGAGTATCGTATCAGATTAAATGCTTCGGTTGATGTTTCCAGATACTTACTGCGACAAGGACTAGATTTCGAGGTCATAGAGAAGGAGAAGAGTCTTCTAACAAAGGAAACTTTTTAGAACTTCTGAAATACATAGCTGATCACAATGATGTTATAAAAAAAAGTTGTTTTGGAGAATGCTCCAAGAAATAACAAGATGGGTTCTTCAGATATTCAAAACGATATTGTAAACGCTTTTGCAGAAGAAGTGGTGAAATCTGTTATAGAAGAAATTGATAACGGAGTCTTTGGTTTATTAGTAGATGAATCTGCTGATGTGTCTGATAAAGAACAGATGGCTGTTGTTTTTCGATTTGTTGATAAGCAAGGAGCAGTTAAAGAAAGGTTTGTTGGAGTTGTCCATGTGGAAGAGACTTCTTCTTTGTCTTTAAAGCATGCTATTGATGAGTTTTTTGCTAAGTATGCACTGAGCTTGAAAAAAATGAGAGGACAAGGTTATGATGGAGCTAGTAATATGAAAGGAGAGTTCAATGGGCTGCGAGCATTGATTCTTAAGGAAAATAACTCTGCATATTATGTTCATTGCTTTGCTCATCAACTCCAGTTGGTTGTAGGGGCTGTTGCGAAAAAGATATTTGACATTGCTGACTTCTTTGATAAGGTTTCCACGTTATTGAATGTGGATGGATCTTCTTGCAAACGAAAAGATAAGGTCCGGGAATGTTATAGAGATGAGATAAATGCTGGAATTGCTAGTGGTGACATTCACACTGAGAAAGGACTGAATCAAGAAATTTCTTTCCAAAGGCCTGCAACTACAAGGTGGGGTTCTCATTATAAAACGCTGTTGCGTTTGGTTGGGTTGTTTTCTACTATTATTCAAGTTCTTGAGTATATTGAAGAGGAAGGCGCAGATGATTCTAAGAGATTTCAGGCACATGGTCTTCTCAAGTACGTTCAGACATATGATTGTGTGTTCTATATGCATCTGATGTTAATATGTGAGAATCTGTCGATGGCTTTGCAAAATAAAAATCAAGACATTTTGAATGCTATGTCACTAGTAGAATCTACTAAGCGGAGTTACAGAGAGTAAGAGATTATGGATGGGATTCACTTATGTTGACAGTTTCTTCCTTTTGTGAGAAACATGATACTCAGATGCTCAATATGGAAGAATATTTTATCGATTCTCGGAGGCCAAGGAAAAAAACCAGCATCACTAATCTGCATCATTATAAGGTTAATTGCTTTAATGCAACTTTGGATTTTCAACTTCAGGAGTTCAACGATCGTTTTACCGAGGTAAACACTGAGCTGCTTATTTGTATGGCTTCCTTGAATCCTATTGGTGATTTTCGTGGATTTGACAAGTCAAAATTGGTGAAGTTGGCTAAATTATATCCAGATGACTTCAGTTTTATGGAGTGTTTATCTCTTGAGCAACAACTTGGTATTTTTATCGACAATATACGACATGATCAACGATTGAAAAATCTAAAGAGTCTTGGAGATCTTGCTCTTCTGAAGGTAGAAACACAAAAGCATATTGCACATCCTTGGTTTATAGGCTTTTGAAGTTGGTTTTGACTTTGCCGGTTGCTACTGCAAGTGTTGAAAGATGTTTCTCTGCAATGAAACAAGTGAAGACAGCTGTACGAAATCGAATGGGAGATCATTTTTTAAATGATTATCTCATTTGTTTTATCGAAAAAGAATTACTTGGTGATGTCACAAACGAAGAAGTGATGATCCGATTTCAAGACATGAGTGAAAGAAGAATGCTTTTGTAAACGTTGTTTTTAATATTTATTTTTAATATGTTATTTGATATTTTTTATTTTAATATTGGTGCACTCATTATAAAAATTTCCTGGCTTCGCTCCTGGTCACATGTGTGGTTTCTAAACATGAATCAAAAGTTGGGTAAATGTACTTCTTGAATTAAGCTGTTGTTGAGGGAGCTTATATGTACTCGTATACAGCTTTCAACTAGATCACCGCTTTTCTCAATTTCGTTCAGCTCATGCTTGATTATCATATTGGCGCGGATAGTATCTCCTGTAGCATGGCAAGCTATGCGGTTGTCCTCCTTGAGATTTTTCCAGCTTTCAAGGGCGGCAGTATTTCTCTGTGGATGGCCAAGAACTGTTCGGAGGGTTTCTCTCTTTAAATATTTTGGCTCCGATTTTACTTGCACTCTTGACCCTTGTTCTATGCTAGGGTGAGCGAGAATCCTCTGCTGTAAACTCCGTTATGACTGCTACCAAGGTCTGTCTTGACCACTTTCTTTCTTTTTTTACCTCAGATGATTCATTTGATTGAATTCTTGTCTAACACTACAAGAAAACATGAAAATTCTGAGGACTATTTTCTTCAGAATTTCATCGGAAAACACTTATTTCGAAGAAATTCCGATAAAAATGACCGTCGGAAAAATTTCGTCGGAAACAAATATTTCCTCGAAATTTCGTAAGATGCTGTGGGAACCAAAATCCACACTGTCGATTTCTGTCAAATATGGAAACTTAGGATGAAACCCTAATTTTCCCGAGGTTCTGGATCTCTGCGGAAATCACTAAAACAAACGAAATTAACAGAATATGGATGAATAACGAAGAACAGAGAATAAAGAATTTGTGAAAGCTTTTATTCAATAAGAAATCGACAACTGTTACAAGGAGAATTGAAGAACTTAGACGTCGAAACGTTCTAAGGATCTGAATTGCTAGTCTAAACGCTAAGTCCTAAATTCCTAAGCTAACAGCCACCTTTTTGGGTCTGATTTTCGTCCCCCTCCTCTTCCCTATGCTTCTGGCTTATATACTCCTTTCCCAAGCGACTCAATCTTTCCATTTTGCCCGGATTCGAGTTTGTCGGGAAACTTCCTTTTATCTCCATCCTTCCTTTTTCCCACGGAAATCTTCTTTTTATCTTCAAAGTTGCCTTTTATTTCCCTTCTGCGAATAAACCGTCAAAACATTATCGTATCTTCGGGTTTGATTTCGTTAATATCGCGAGATAGGTTTTTATCGGGTTTTAGGACCTTTTGGGCCATTTCACGATAAAAACCGTTTTACGATTTTATACGAGATCGTTTCCTGGTCTGATGTCGTTTTTTACGATTTCTAAACGTTTTTTATTAAAAACGCTTTTTTATGATCTTATCGAAAAATCTCAGATAAATCGTATAGTTTAGGCGATGTTCGGTATCTTGCTTAACCGTTACCGTTTTATACGATTTCTTCGAGTTCTTTTCGAGAAACCGGAGTTTTACGGTTTTTAGCGTAAATCTCGAACGATAAGTCGGGTCGAGACGAAACGAGAGACCTTTCGGCCGTAGTTAAGAATGCGACCATGTCGCAGGGCGTAAGTTTCGAATCGGGGATGCGGGAGATCGAGGCTCGGGATGATCGGTTCAGCGTACGGAGAATCGAGTTTGTCCGGTCCAGCTGTCCCTAGACGAGAGACTCCTAGTTCGCCTGCAGGCGAACTAGTGGAGAGGCTCCTAGTTCGCCCAGCAGGCGAACTAGTCGTGACTAGTTCGCGTTTTGCGGCGGTTTCGGTTTTTTGCGATTTTGTAAAACGATTCTCGAGTTTTATAAAACGATTCTTCGAGTTTTTATAAAACGATCGTCGAGTTTTATAAAACGATTCTCAAGTTATATAAAACGATTCTTGATTTTTATAAAACGATTCTCGAATTTTATAAAACGATTCTCGAGTTTTATAAAACGATTCTCGAGTTTTATAAAACGATTCTCGAGTTTTATAAAACGGTTCTTCGAGTTTTTATAAAATGACCGTCGAGTTTTATAAAACGATTCTCGAGTTTTATAAAATGATTCTCGAGTTTTATAAAACGGTTCTTCGAGTTTTTATAAAACGATCGTCGAGTTTTATAAAACGATTCTCGAGTTTTATAAAATGATTCTCGAGTTTTATAAAACGGTTCTTCGAGTTTTTATAAAACGATCGTCGAGTTTTATAAAACGATTCTCGAGTTTTATAAAACAATGGATACAGAAAGCAATGATTCCATTTTTACAGAAGTTATCGTAGACGTTGATTTCGAGATTACGGTTTTCGACACAAACAGGGGCTCCGAGGAAATAGCGACAAGTTCCAATGGACACACAATCCGAGGAAATTCCGACGAATACTTTTCATCGGATTATTTTTACGGATACTTCATCTGAGTTTTACCGATGAACTCGTTTTCCAGAAGTTGCCGAGGGAATTACCGAAGACGGACGTTCCCTCGGAATATTCTGACGACTACGCTTCCTCGGAATATTTTGACGGCTATGCTTCCTCAGAATATTCCGACGGCTTTTTCCCTCAAAATATTCCGATTTTTTTCTTTTTTAAAAAAAATTATTATATAATAATTATTTGATTTTTTAATATTTATATAATAATTATTTGAACATATAAAATTAAATCTGAAATAGAAAACATATTATAATATTTAAAGTTTTACAAATTAAACATAAAGAGTTTAAAAAAAAACACAAACTAGAACTCGTGCGGAAACATCTGTCGCATTATGTCCAGCATCTCCTGGTTCTTCTTCTTTGTTTCCTCCACTTCAGCTTGCTGATCGGCCATCCTAGCAATAATGGTGGTGTTCTGGGTAAGAATGGTGGTGTTCTGGGTCTCCAATGCTACTATGCAGTCATCCTTGTTCTGTTAGCTCCTCCATAAGTACCGAATCAACAAAAGCCGGTTCGGAAGTAGAAGGAATTGACTTGGAGCGACGATCCAATCCGAACAAACGACCTTTCTTCCTTGGAACTGCCTGAAAAAAAAAGAGAGAGAACATAAAAATCGGAACAGTTTAAAAAAAGACGATGAAAAGAAAAAATAGTAAAAATTGAACTGTAAATTAAAATGAAGATCTTACCGACTCAACGAGTTCGTTGATTCGAGCTTGAGACAGGTTGGTGGAAGCAGCAGTAGTGTCGTCGTCATCGGATTGAAGCTGAGATAGGCGTTGGATCTCTTCATCCTTCTGGGTTTCGACCAAGTCAATCACCTCCTTCACAATGGCATCCGAAATCTCTCCGGTCTTCTTGTTGGTATACGCCTCCTTCATTAGCACGATTTCATCAACCGGCTCATCATCATTTTGTTGCGCCTGAAAAAATAGCATTTGTTAATAAAAAGCATTTAAAACTGTAATAGAACACAAAAAAATAGAAATAAATAAGCAAAAAAAAAAAATCAACTTACTAGTCGATCCCCTAGAGTGGGCATACTGCAAGCACCCAAGTTGTGCTTGTAGACGCCCTTCCCACCACGTCTACTCTTGTGGTTGCCGGAGTTGGTCACAGAGGTCTCTTGTGTCTCCACCTTCTCCCAATGTACTTGCAACTCGAGCCACACCGTGTAGTTAATCGATTTCGGTTTCTTTCCCTTGAGCCACTTTTGCTTCCACTCTTAGATCTGCTTCCCATAATTGTCCATGACTTTATGGTGAAATTCATTATGGATATAGAGCATATGGAGGGGATTCCAGTTGAATTCTTGCTGAAAACAAAGACACAATTAGTAGAATTTTAAGTCAAAGATTAAAATATAAGTTAAAAATTAAAAATAAATACCGCAAACTGACGGAACCACATCTCCCGATCCTCGGGAGGGAAGGTAGTGTAGGTAGCATATCCCTTTTTGAGGGTCGAGTACATCATCCCATTGATGAAGCCGCTTATCCCGTTCCCCGACAAGTTGAACCTAATAAAAAAATTCAGAATCAAGCAAAATTTAATGAAAAAAAAAGATAAAATAAAGAGAATTCTAACCATGTTTGGTGTCATCCCTTTGGATACGGAGTGAGAACGAGAAGATGCTCTCGACCAGGCTGTTGAACCAATTGTTCAACAGACATGATACCCGGAACGATTGGAAGAGCAGGAGTGGGAGGAAAAGCGTCGAGATTTTGGTTTTGGGAAGATGCAGAACCACGAGAGGTGCCCGTCGTACCACCCCGGCCTCGTGGTGTGTAACGACGAGACCTGATCTGGTTATCGCTACAAGACCTGCAAAAATAAAAAATTATTATTATAAATTAAGTATAAAAAAATAAATAAAAAATCTTTTTATAAAAATCCAAGGTAGCATTGAGAGAAACAAAAACTCTCGACGCAAGCACAAGTTTGGCAGTAAGTTGCATGGTGTAAGAATGACTGGCCATAAGAATATTGTCTTCCATGCTTGCCAAATGGGCTGAAACCATCGGTACATAATCCAAGGTAGACATTTCTTCTCTCAAACGCAAATTCTGGATATGTTGATTGGAAATATTTCCAAGCTTTTGCATCTGAAGGATGTCTAATCTCGCCATCTATCGAATGCTCCACATGCCATCTCATTGGTTGGGCTGTGCGTTCAGGCTGATACAACCTCTTCAACCTTTCCGTCAAAGGAAAATACCACATCATTTTATATGGCACTGGAACTCTTCCACTTGTATCTCTATAACGAGCCTTCCCACAAAATTTGCATGTAACCCGGTTCTCATCCGCCCTCCAATATATCATGTAGTTATCGATGCATACTTCTGTTATCTGATACGGTAAACCAAGACCAGCTACGAGTTATTGAACTTTCTAGTATGAATCAAGACCACACATTCTTCAGCAAATTAAAATTTGTTTTAATGCCCATCAGTCTTGTTGCAGATGATAAAGGTGAATGACCATCTCTGCAACTTTGGTACAAAGGTTGTTTTCATGCATCCAACATATCAAAAAATCTCATAGCTTCTGGATTGGGTAATTCTTTCCCTCTAAAATGATCATTTACCATATGCTCAGTACTTACACCATAATCTACATCTGTTCTAATTGGTTATTCTAACCTATATGCAGTCTGAGGTTCGCTAATACTACCATGTTCATAATCAGTTTCCCCATGATGATACCAAATTTTGTAACTTCGTGTAAACCCGTTCAAATATAGATGAGTCCAAACATCTCACTCATTTATAACCTTTTTATTTTTACAAGTAGAGCAAGTACATCTTAACATACTCGTTTTTTCTTCCGGTTGTCGTTGAACTAACCCCATGAATTTTGTTATACCTTTTTGGTATTCTTCCGTAAGCAATCTCGTGTCAGGATCCAAATGAGGTCGATCAATCCACGGACAATAATAATTTGAAGAAGACATATTTTTTTTTTGAATCAGATTCGTGTGTAAATAGTAAATGAGAGGATGAGAATATTGAGTGAATGAAGAGAATGCGGGGTGCTTTTATTTATAGATGAAATGTTGCCGACAATCCCGACAATTTTCCAATGGAAACATGATATTCGTCGGAATTTCGTCAAAATTTTTAAAATTTCCAAACGGCTCTACAACGGCTATAAATTTCCCTCGGATTTACATTGGTATATTCTGACGAAAATATGATTGTCGTCGGAATTTCGTCGGAATTTTTAAAAATTCCAAACGGTCTATAACGGTTGTAATTTACCCTCAGATTGTCCTTGGTATATTCCGACGAATATATTTTCCTTACAATAACGTCGGATTATAGCAAAAAAAATGTTGCTTCTTCGGAATGCTGTCGGAAATTTCCGACGAAATTCTGAGAAAACATAAAAATTGCTTTTCTTCGGAATTTTGTCGGAATGGCATCGGTATATACTGAGGAAATTACTTTCCATCAGAATTGTCGTCGAAATATACCATGTTTTCTTGTAGTGTAAGTCGTGATCGTTCTCGTTGTTGTTTGTGCCGGAGCTTTTCAGATTGATGTAGCAAATTGGTCTCGTTTCTCACCTAATGGTTTCAAAGCTGTTCTAACTGGAGCTACTGTTGTCTTCTTTTCTTATGTTGGATTTGACGCTGTTGCTAATTCTGCTGAAGAATCCAACAACCCTCAGGTCTGCCCATTATTATATATTGGCGTCTGTTTAGTGCTCACTGTGATGGTCCCTTTTAGTCTCCTCAGAGACGATGCTCCTAATTTAGCCGAAGCCTTTTCTTCAAAGGGTATGAAGTTCGTCTCAATCTTAATCAGTATTGGTGCCGTTGCTGGACTTACAACTACCCTGCTTGTTGGTCTTTATGTTCAGGTGAATATATGCATGTACCTGGATTTTTTTAGTAGTATCTTTGATTCAGTCACTTGTTCTCATGCAAAACAAAGTATCTCTGATGATAATTTCCAGTAAACAGTCCAGGTTATATATGGGACTAGGAAGGGATGGTCTATTGCCCTCATTCTTTTCCAGAGTACACCCAACTCTTCATACACCTCTTCATTCTCAAATACGGTAATGCATTGTTGCTGGCGTTTTAGCTGGCATATTTAATGTACATAGCCTTTCTCATATTCTGTCAGTTGGTACACTGGTATGCAAGGTCTTAACTTTGTTTTATTATATACCGTTTTGGTTTTTGGATCGACACTTATTCTTTTCACAGTTTTTTTTTTTTTCCATTGTTTCAGACTGGGTATTCAGTCGTCGCAGCTTGTGTTGTAGCTTTGAGATTGAACGATAAGAAAGAAAGGGAGTCGTCCAATGGATGGATATCAAGTTGGCATGAAGGCGCCATTTGCCTTGTTATAATTGCATGCGGTGGTTTTGGTGCTGGCGTATTTTACCGTTTTAGTCTTCTTTTAAATTTCTTCTTCTCTCAGTAGGTGTGGCAGTTAGTGCTTTAGCAGTTTTCCATTATCGCCGAGTAAGTAGTCCTGAGCATAAGCAAATACTCTTCTTACGTAAATTGCGCCAAAATAATTAAATCAATGCTGGAGTTGAGAAGCTAAATGATACAACCACTGATAGAGACCACAAGTAGTATGGTCTGGCACTTGGAACTCCACGTTGATACTTTAAAAGTCATTGACAACTGATTCAGCTTCGGCAATCTTGTTTTAGACAAGTCTGGTAGCAGCAATTAGTAATGAGATGGCGATGCAGTAAAAAAAATACCTGAATTGTTTTCTCTACAAAGCATGTGAATTCCTGACTAGCAATTGTCCATGTTAACACCCTCAGCTTTTCGCTTCCAGGCTTATGCTCAGTCTCTTGGTTTGGGGTTTTGCTGTCCTGGTTTTCCCATTGTGCCATGCGTTTGCATTTTCTTCAACATCTTCTTATTTTCTCAGGTATACCTACTTTTGTATTAATTACAGTACTTCCACGTATAATATGATTTAAACTCTGAGCTTGTGCTACTTTTGCAGTTGCATTATGAAGCATGGATAAGATTTGTTGTTGTGAGTGTGCTTGCAACTGCCGTTTATGCCTTGTATGGACAGTACCATGCAGATGCATGCACCTCGATTTATCAGAAGGCACCTGAAAGTGAAAGTGACTCTGGGTAAAAGCTTAGAATGTTTGCTTCTACTACGCAAACCATCTATCGAGTAGGTAATAGAGTTACTGTATTGTGTGAGAGACAAAAACAGTGTGTAAGGATTGAATGGGATATTGTAAATTGAAAATTTTCAATTTCAGGATGCTCGTAAAAATTTACATATGAAAATTTGTTTGTTTCAAATTAGCAATGCTAGTGCAACAGATGTCTGATCCCAGAGTTGATAAACCTAGAGTAGAGCAAGTGTAAAACTATCACACTCTTTGTTCTCAATCACATCCTTAACTGATAAACAATCTAGCCTTTTATGAGTGTTTTCCGGACCAAACTGAATCACAAAAACAGATATAAGAGGGTTGTGTCTAGGAGCAAATAAGACTCCAGCATCAGTTTAGCTGGGGAGGGAGCTAAAATCTCTACGCTCAGGTATGTGTACTTCCATTCCTTATCTGCCTTGTCATTAAACATCTCTGTGTACACTTTTCCGGCTCCATGAGGCCCACGGATGAAGAAGTTTACCTAAAACCATGTTCAATTTTGATGATGTTAAAATATTCCTTCTTGCCTCTTCTTTATTTCTGTAGCCGCACTAACGTAATTTCAAGGGCAGAACAATAAAATTACCTCCACATGCTCGACTCCGTCTTCATCTGTTAGGTATGCGCTGATGAGCAGCTCGGCTTCTGGTTTCTTGTCCGTAGCCTGTGATGGGGAATCCAATCCTTACCCTCACCTACATAAACATAAGTCAAAATCTCAGCATCGTTGCGCTTTTAAATCTCCGAATGTTTTGGCTAAACACACCACCTACCGCTACCATTATGATCATCAACGATGGACTTTATAGTATCTTATTACCTGACCGTCATCTTGAATTCTCTTCAATGCTTTGTCAAACACCTTGTACCTATACAATACAGAAACAGAGGAGTTGATTGGTTGGGATTTAACTTAGTACTTTAACTTTAATTTTTTCTAAATCACCAATTCGTACCAATCATGTTGTAGCTTTAGTTTTCAAAAGTAAAACTACAGAAAAAATTTGTCAATCAAAATGTAGCTTAAATTTTTCAAGATACAGCAAAAAAGATAAAAATTTAATTTTTCTATTTGTTTTAGACAAAAATCCTACATCCTTATTATTTTGGCTGTAGAAAAAGTAAACTCTTAAATGAAAAACAAACGCACGATCTCTTTTTCATGAACATACGACGTACATTCAAGTCAAATATTTAGTATATTCATGACATGATAATTCTCAACTTAAAACGAAAAGGAAAAATCAAAAGATAACTTAAGAAAAGAAAATCCTAACGCCACACTTGTTTTAAGACCATGAAAATGCACAAACGATTGATTCTCGACAATACATGGAAGACTTTCAAAATGAGATTGCAATGAATTTATGGAATTTTAGTAGATAAAATAATTATTATTATTTAGATGGTATTTTTCCTTTAATTGTTTTAGATTTTTTTAATTTTAAATTAATTTAATAAATTGTTATTTTTAATAGTAGAAATATTTTTTTCAGCTACAACACATTTTATCCACTCATGTTTTGTTTTACAAAAGTACAGAAAATAACTTACATCTACAGTTATTATAGTTACAGCAAAAATCTCTGCAGAAAAATCTACTTTAGTAAATGTACAGCCACAGCTAATACACTTATAGTAAAAATTCTACAGTAAAATTTATACTGTAAAGTTCAACCAATCATCCCCAGAGTCTTCAGATTCCTAAGTATCAGCAGAGAATATAAAACATCAAACCAGGGCCGGCTGAGAGGGAGGGACAAACGGTGCGACCATCCCGGGTCCAAATCCGTGTCCCCCCTGTATATTACCAATTAAAGGGTCTAATATTTTTTATATTTACATATTTTTATATAAAAGTTTTAAAATATTCACTAAATTTAGGTGAAAAAGAACCCAAAAATATTTTATGTGTAGATAATATATTTTCATCCTAAATTTTATAAAGATCATGGAAAAAAAATAAATATATTTCAATTTTAATAAAAATAAATATTAAAAATTAAATATTTTTATTTGCCCCAGGCCTGAAAAAATGTTGAGCCGTCCCTGCATCAAACTAGAGTTGTGAAGCCTCTCACTCTTTTGGATAAAATATGAGCTCTTCAAAGAAAGCGTACCCAGAAGCCCCAGCGACCGCTAGCCCGGCCAGAATAACAAAACTGTAGGAAGCACCTTATGTAAAGGTTACATGCTTTTCCAGGATATGGTAGGTCGGAGAATCAAAAGGATCGTCCACCGTCAGCACCTCTTTCTTAGCCTATAAAACATTTTGCAAATGATCAGCAGAGAATTAAGCATTAATGTCTAAGACACACGGCACGCAGTAGTTGACAGAAGATTTTAAATTAACATCATATTACCACACTCATGAGACCAGAATCGGTAATGGCTTGCCTTGATACTCCTGGTTGCACAACGGTCATCAACTGCATCGGAAAGAAGAAGAAGACATGATGTTTTAACAATTAAAAGGAAAAGAACAAGCATAGAGAATGAAAAAGTAAGTGTATCTTGGGGGGGGGATTCCTAATAACCTGAACTCATAATTAAGAAAAAGCAACTGAGTATTCCTCAGAAGAATGTGTTTCCCGGTCACTGTAGAGATCAAAGCAAAAGCTTTCACCCTAGATTGAGAAAAAAATCAAAGTGTATTTCATTGTTGGAAGAAAATGGATAGACGATCAATTTACCCATGAGAACTATCATATAACATCAGATCTCCACTGAACTATGACCTCATGCTAGATCCCCACGAATTGAAAATTGCAAACTTATTTCTCTCCGAGTCAATATTTCAAAACTTAATTACCTACATACAATGGTTTTAATTGGTTTATTCTTAACCAAACATCTTAAATCAAGTAAACAAAACCAAAATCTATTTTTTTTATAGTTTTTATCACTTTCCATTTGTGATGTATCTTTGTTTTCTAATTAACAAAATAAAATCTTCTTCTGTTGTAAACTAAATCTATTAAATCCCCACCTGAATCACCGTAAACATTCTTACGTAAACATTTTAATGGGTTTATTTTACAACACAAGAAGATTCTATTTTATTTATTAAAAAACAAAAATATATCACCAATGGAAACTGATAAAAAAAATACAAAAACTGAATTTTGGTAATGGCTTGCCTTGATACTCCTGGTTGCACAACGGTCATCAACTGCATCGAAAAGAAGAAGAAGACATGATGTTTTAAAAATTAAAAGCGAAAAGAACAAGCACAGAGAATGAACAAGTGTATCTTGGGGGGGACGGATTCCTAATAACCTAAAGTCATAATTAAGAAAAAGAAATTGAGTATTCTTCAGAAGAATGTGTTTCCTTGTCACTGTAGATATCAAAGCAAAAGCATTCACCCTAGATTGACCAAAAAGCAAAGTGTATTTCATTGTTGGAAGAAAATGGGTAGACGGTCTATTTACCCATGAGAAAAGTGTATTTCATTGTTGGAAGAAAATGGGTAGACGGTCTATTTACCCATGAGAACTATCATATAACATCAGATTCCCACCAAACTATGACTTCATGCTAGATCTCCACGAATTGAAAATTGCAAACCTATTTCTCCTCGAATCAATATTTCAAAACTTAATTATCTACATACTATGGTTTTAATTGGTTTATTCTTAACCAAACATCTTAAAATCAAGTAAATCAAACCAAAATCCAATTTTCGTATAATTTTTATCAGTTTCTATTTGTGATGTATCTTTGTTTTCTAATGAACAAAACAAAATCTTCTTCCGTTGTAGAATAAACCCATTAAATCTCCACCTGAATCACCGTAAACATTCTTACATAAACATTTTAATGGGTTTATTTTACAACAGAATAAGATTATATTTTATTTATTAAAAAATATATCACCAATGGAAACTGATAAAAAATACAAAAATTGAATTTTGGTTTGGTTTAACTGATTTAAGATGTTTAGTTAGGAATAAACCAATTAAACCATCTTATGTGAATAATTAAGTTTAGAAGTATTGATTCAGAGATAAATAGGTTAAATCTAGCATGAGTTCATAGTTCGGTGGGGATCTGATGCTATAAGATACTTCTCGTGGCTAAATAGATAGTCTACCCAAAGAAAATAAATAGTTAGTTCCCCTTCTTTTTTTATTTTTTTATTATTATTGTTAACAAAGGAAAACATGATTCATGACTATGTAGAAGAATCAATATCTGATCTCCCTCTCTTGCAAAAAGAATTTGAAATCCTGATAAAAACATTCTAATTTCTAGAGAGAAAAAGACAAACCGATTTTTAAATTGCAGAAGCAGAGGAAAATGAAGCATGTTTCAATTTGGATAGCCTGCTGATGGATCTCCTTAAGAAGCTCATCATCATCTCTGATCCAAAAATGGTAACTTAGGGGAAAGATAGATAGGAAGGAAGCTTAAAACCTAGGTACCTCCTGCTTTGCGAAGCACAGTGAGCGAAGCTGCTTCTGGGTTTTACAGTCAACACGTGACAAGAACGCACGTAAGTAATTTGGGCTTAATATTGGGCATGGGCTCTCAATTTTATTGAAGATGTTGTTCAAATATAAGTCAAACAGACATGACTAATGTCATGAGCCCCTCTTTTTTGTAAATACAGATAAAATCCTAATTTGTTTTTTTTTTGTAACATCCAGTCATCCTTATCATGATAAGAAAAATACTCATAACCCAAAAATTACCTTGTGTTTATAGATACAGAAAAAAAAAACAACTTGATACTCACTCCGTTTCACATTAAGTATCGTTTTAGAGAATCTTTTTTGTTACAAAATAAGTGTCGTTTTCGATTTTCAATGCAAAATTTATTAATTTTATTTTGCAGTCTATTTCTCTATTGGTTGATATATGGTTAGGTGTATAGGTAATTGTGTTTTTATATGGAAGATATTTAAAATTAACTATTTCATTAATTCGTGTGCACAAACCTAAAGTGACACTTATAATGAAACAGAGGGAGTAATACCGAAGCTGTATGCATAGAAGATGAGAGGAAGGCAAAAGATTTTAGGGTAAATTGTATTTTTTTGAAATGTTAATTCTTGTCCTCATCATCACAACATGCACCACAAGTGCGATTTCAGCTCCCTCCTATCTGATCAGCTTCTCCTCCACGTCTTCTCCAAGCTTCCCATTTCTCACCACCTTACCACTTAACTTGTCTGCAAGCGTTGGTTGTTTCTTCACGGCCGCTTGGTTCAATCTCTTAAGCTCCTCGACTGGTAATTTCTAGAGTCCGGTCGCCTTTTTGCACGCTTCCCTCGTCTCACCGAAATCAATACTGTCCCTAGTTCATCATGTGCGTTAACCATTAAAACCTCCTTCTTCTTCATCTCTCTTCCTATCATCAGCAGGGATGACTTTTTGTCTTCCGTCGATCCCGACCAAGGACTCCAACTGTTTTCCCACAAGTACCCCAATTTGAGGAGAATTTTTGTGTTTGGTGCGAGCGAAAACGAGCTGGCAACCCTCACCGACACGTTGCAGGAGCTGGAGCTCCATTGTTGCGGAGATTTATCCTTGAAGGGGGGCATTTCAGGATGGGTAAATCTGCAGGTAATGGAGCTGAGAGCAAGGGTAGATGGGTTATTCTTCACTTCCTCTGTGGTGGTGTCCGACATCGGATTAACCATTCTAGCGCAAAGCTGCAAGAGGCTAGTGAAGCTTGAACTATGTGGTTGTGAAGGAAGTTATGATTGTATCAAGGCAATTGGGCAGTGCTGCCAAATGCTCGAGGAATTGACTTTTTAAGACCATAGGATGGATGGTGGGTGGTTGGCTGCTCTATCTTTCTGTTTCAATATCAAGACCTTGAAGCTTCGGTCTTGCAAGTCTATCGATTCTAATCCTCGACTCGATGAGCATCTCGGTCTCTGTCCTATGCTCCAGGAGTTGCACTTAGAACGGTGTCACCCGAGGGGGGATCAGAAGAGCACTAAATCTCTGTTTCTGATCTGTGGGAATGTTCGGGATATTGTGCTCCATAACTGTTGGGGCTTCCAAGATCATTTGTTTGCCTTTGCCTTTGCCTCAATCTGTAGGTAAGGAAACTATTTTTCTTTTTCTTTTGTTTTATGACCCTCCTCTGATGGAATGGAAAAAAAAAATTAAAAAAAAATGTGTTCTTTCTTTCACAAGAGAGTGGAGCTACTTTATCTTGAACATTGCTCATTTATGACAATAGGTGGCCTAGAATCAGTACTTCTTTCATGTAAGGGTCTTCAAAGACTAGTGGTTGTCTCGTGTAGTAAGATAAAAGACAACGAAGTAACTCCCCAACTTGCTTCCCTCTTCTCTGTGCTGAAAGAGCTCAAGTGGAGACCCGTTAGGAGATATTTGCTGTCCGCAGATCTTGAGAGCATCGGAATGTGGGGAAAAGGCGGTAAAGTTTTCACCATTTTAAAGGGTTGAAGTTGAAACATCATCCGAGAGGCAGTTACTGAACAATATATGTTTTTGTTCATCTCTTCCTCGTTGGAACTTGTAAATGTAGTTAACAACTCTTGTACGCCTTAACTTTTGAAGGCATACGGGTGAACTTGTCTTAGTGTATCTTTCTTTATAAGCACATCAAGAGAATAAAATATCTCCTTCTTTGGGATTTTTTTTTTGAAAGAATGTTAAATTTATTCAAATAAAAAAAACTTTTGTACAAACTAATACATCTTTAGTTTAAACTGTGATTAATGTTTGATTTCTATAAATGAAATAGAACTCCTTTAATATCTTGACAAGAACCAGGTCACCATTGCCGTATTGAAAGTAGAACCACCTCTGCCCTGAAGGGAACTGATTTTATTTCGAGTCTGTTTATCGATGAATTTGATGATGATACATATATTGAGGTCGCGAAGCTTTACCATGTCTTCTACCATTTCTCTCTAGCCAAATGGTATGAACTGAAGCTTGAAACACATATCTTAGGAGGAACCGTTTCACCCCTGAAACAGCATTCGTGGTGATGAGATCAATAACAAGACTCCAACTGTGCGAGTAGTTGTGGCCAAACACACTACAAGAAAACAGGTTTTTAGCTACCGCAAGAATAGTAGCTAATCAGTCGCTAAATCAAAATTAGCGACTGATTAGCTACTGATTAAGGCTGTCGTTATACTGATCGTCGCTAAATAAATCGGTCGCTATTCCGTCGCTAATTAGCGACTGATTAGCGACCGGAACTGGTGTCATTAAATAGTCGCTAAATAGTCCTTAAACAGTCGCTAAAGTAACGACTGATTAATGACTGATTAATGACGTACTTTAGCGACTACTATAAAGTCATTAAACAGTCGGTATTTTAGCGACTGATTAGCCACTAAATAGTGACCGATTTAGCCACGGTTTACTGACTGATTAGTGACTGAAAAGTGAGACTACGGGACAACAAATATGAGCATAGATTTTGGATTTATTTTGATTCATTTTGGTTTTTGTTTTGGAATCCTAAATACATAGAAGTTCTTTATATACATACCAAAAACCTATTGGAAGTAGATAAACACTGTTTTGGAATCCTAAATACATAGAAAGATCTTTATATAGATACCAAAAAGATACATAAGATCATAAAACAACTCCAACAATTGAGTTGTTTTATGTTCAAAATACCAAAACACCAAAATATGAGAAGCTAAGAAAACACAAGCTAATTTTACTGATCAAGATTAGGTGGAGATGATGCTTCAGTGGCAATGAAAGCATAGTACCTTCGGTCAGTTGAACGGATAAACTTTTGCATAATGTTGAACTCAGCCATCATAGCCTTGTTATTAGCTTGTTCTCGAGCACGGTCTTCCTTTTCCTTGGCAAGAAGAGCCGCATGTTCTTCTATTTTGCATTCAGCTTCTTCAATCTTCTGTAGCATGTCCCTGAAAGAAGAGGAGTTGCAAGGGTCATTTGGTTTTCTCTTAAGCTTTTGCTTCAGGCTTCCAAGTCCTAAAAGGTCTTCTCTGTTATTGCAGAAGGTTGACTACAGCAAAAAACATAATGATACAGTCATAAAAAATCAATTTCCAAACAAGAAAACATTATCCAAACTCTTAATTCAATAACATAAGACTGTAAGAATATATATATATATATATATATTTTTTTTTTTTTTTTAAAACACTAACCTGAATAAACAGCTCATTGTCCTCTTCTACTGATAGCATTCGATGATGTCCCTCTGATATTTCCGTGTTATCCTCCTTCTCAAGGTTAGCCAACTTCTCTTCCTTTTTATTTTTGTAAACCTCAGCAAATTTTTCTGCTTTGAAATCGACATAGGTTCCATCTGCTTTTGTATGAGCCTTGATGACTACTTCACCAAAACTCACAGGTCTTCCCAACTTGACTATCTGAAATGAAAAGGAAGAAACGCATACATTAGTGAAGACTTAGAGAAAACGAGACAAAGAAAATGGGACTCACCAGCTCTTGTTCGATTTGCATATAGGACTTCTGCCATGTGTTATTCTTGTACATACCAAGACCATTACGCTCCGACCGTCGATTTGCTGATGCTTTTCGATTCTTTGCCTTTGCTGCCTCAGTGTCCCAAAAAGTAGTCATTTCTTCCCAGAGTGTATCTCTGATCCATTTTGGTTGCTCTCGAGTGGTTCTTATATTACTGACCATACCTTTCATTCGAAGCTGGCAAATGGATTCAAAGTGTTCTTGGACCGGTTAACATGGGATTCCATGTGTGTTTTTTCTGCAAAACAACAGAAAAATATATGTTACTCATCACAAAAGAAAGAACTATATAAACCGCATGTCTAACAAAAAAAAAGCTATAATCATCACAAAAGAAATAACAATAAACAAAATGTAATAGATAGAGAAGGTTGCAGCAAATTCAACGAAGTATCCTTCTTGTCTATCTCTAGGCACACATGACCACCTATAGAATGGCTTATCAAACTTCTTGGTGAAAATCTTGGCTATCCTACGTGTCAAGCTGGAGTTGTCATAACCAAACCTACAACACAAACAAAACCGAATCAGATAACTAAACAAACCTACAAAAACTTGTTCCTGAGCTATTTAGTTTCTTAGTTTTGAAAAAAAAAAGCTTATTCTTTTATCAAGCCTATTTCACAGCTTAAATAAAAAAATCTACAACAAAAACCTGTTAAAGATGTATTAAGACAAAGACACCTTAACATGGATCAAGAGATTCTTACTTAACAGCTTAAATGAAAATGTCTAATGGCTTAAAATAGACTTATTGGATTGGAAAAACAACAACCAAGAGCCTAAGAGATGTCGTAACACAAAAAAAATCTGAACTGAGTCTAAGACGAAGACTATGGACCCTAACTAAGGCTTAAACACCTGTCTCTGTTTAATAACCACAAAGCTTAAAAGTAGACAAAGATAGATGTGTAAACCAATTAAAGTCACACAAACCTACAACACAAACCTGTTCCTGAGCTATTTAGTTTATTGGTTTAAGAAGTCGTTAAGCGGTCGCTAAAATAGTCGCGATTTAATGACTGTTTGATGACTTTATTTCGTAGTCGAAAAATAGCGACTAACTAGCGACTGATTTTGTTTTGGTCACCAATCGGTCGTTAAATAGTCGGTATTCGGTCGGTATATTTAGCAACTGTAACTGTGGTCGCAAAATTCAGTAACAAAATCTATGTTTTCTTGTAGTGGCAACTTATCCGTGAGGTTCTTCCAGATCACCTCAGTGAAAGAGCAGCTAAAGAACAGATGATTGCAGGACTCGATCGCAGCATTACAGAGGAGACACTGAGCATTCGCCTGAGAGTTCCACAGCAGCAACCTATCCCCAGTAGCCAGACGGTTATGAACTGCAATCCAAGACATAACAGAGTACTTTGGTGTCGATCCTGAGAACTAGATACCCTTGTGCTACTGTACCCTTGTCTGCTGTGTTCTAATGGAGTTCCACGTCTGGTTAGTGTCAAAGGAGGGATGAAACACATCCCCTTTCCCTCTCCACATAACTACATCTTCCTCTGCAGTAAGCCCCTGAGCTCGCAGTTTCCGGATCTCTTCAACAATAGTGATCAGATTATCCGTTATGTGTCGTGTACTCCAATAGTTTTGACATACGAACTCAACCGTGGCGTTGAGATTAATCCAAAGCGCAATACGTCCATGCTCATTAGTCAGGTCCATTAACCGCCCCAATGGAGACCACTCTGGTTTATTGTGACCATTCTCTGTAGGTTGAAGCTGATATAAGCAGAGGAAACCTGCCTCTCTATCTTTTATAATACCAGACTAGTCATTCTCGCCAACAAGTCCTATAAGGCTTGGCCAACTTTTTCAAGTACTAATAAGGCTTGGCCAATGGGAGGAGCATTTATTTAAGCAGCATTCCTCCTGCTTCTTACTCGCTTTGTTCTTTAAGATTAATGATGTTAGCATCTAAGACATCCCATAGCTTTAAAGCATCCATGGATTAAACAAGCATGATTTACATTCTGTCTTCTTTATGATCTTCATCTTGTACATCAATTAGAAGAACACTACTCTATTCTACGATATTACAAGATATTTTCCAATGCCAAATGCAGACATCTACACATGTAGCTAATTGACCACCCGCTCACAAGAACTGGCCACCACTAACACTTTCTCAATTCCTGGTGCACGCCTTATAACCCCTTGTTCCCTAGATCCATATATAGGAAAGTTTGGGATTGGTTCGAAATCTATCGGGTTCAGGTCAGGTTTACAAAATCTTCAAAGAACCCGTTGTACTTTTAGATTCTGGTCTCAGTCGGTTCTTTGGTTTAAAAGTATTTTATTTATATTTATTTAATAAGCAAAACATAAATAAAATCAGTTCCTTGAATTTAAAATACCTGATTTGTACCTATTTTGTAACCAAAATATAAGTAAAACTGATTCAAAAATAAGACAAGAACATCAAGCATAATCATTTAAAATCAAACGAAGATAAACCTAGTTATTGATGGAGAAAAAAAATAAAAATAAAAACATAATATGAAAACTAAGTTCTCACGAAATAAGAAACAATATTCAGTGAAAACAAAACTAATATCTAAAATATTCAAGCTGCAATCGCCACCTTCAACCATTAATATTCATGTAATATATAATTATTTTAGATTTTCAATAATATGTTAAAGTATTTTGGATAGTTATTAGGAATTGACATTATGTTGATAAGGGATGTGTCTTTTTGGGATGTAAAGGTTCGCTCAGCTGGCTCTTGGGTCTGGAACAGGCTCTTAAAGCTAAGGATATAGCCCAGAATTTCCTGCGATTGGAGATACATGATGGGAATACTTATAGTTTTTGGTCAGACTTATGGCACCCTATGGGAAGGCTGATCGAGGTTATAGGAGAAAGAGGCATAGTTAAATTGGGTATCCCCCGGAGTGCAAGGATCGGGATGTGTTTCAGGGAAATGAGTGGTGTATTCAACGCTGCAGGGACCAGAATCTCCATGAGAGGATCGCACAGATTAAGCAGTTCTCAGTCTCGCCTGAGCATAACGAAAACGATGTTGCTTTATGGAGAGATGTAACGAACGAGTTTCACAACAGGTTCTCGGCTCATGCTACTTGGGAACAAATCAGGTCCCATCAGGAAGAGGTATACTGGAGTAAATTGGTTTGGTTTACCCAAGGTACTCCTCGCTACAGCTTCATCACTTGGCTGGCGATGAGGGATAGACTGTCCACATGTACTCGTATGCGGAATTGGGGCCATGTCTTTTCTGCGGTGAGCTAGACGAGTCAAGGGATCACCTTCTTTTTGCCTGTCCATACACGTTTACCTTACGGCTAGAGGTCACGGGTTCACTGCTGGTAACGGAGGCGGACCCAGACTGGATAACTATCTTTCCTCCATCTTATTGAGGTTAGCTTTTCAAGTGTCCGTTTATTATGTTTGGAGAGAGAGGAATGATAGGAGGCATCAGCAAGCAACCAGAGGGGTTAGTCAGCTTGTTCGCATGATTGAAGACTCCAAGGCCTCATGTGTCGATGGTTTGGAACTCGGAGACACAATACGTAGGAATTCTTTGATTCTTTTTTAGTTGTTTGAGTTTCCCATTTCTTTTATCTTTGTACATGAATCAATACCATTAAAACAGAAACATTATGTTTAATGAATTTTTTTTGTTTTCCAATTATATTATTACTAGGTGGCTTCCTGCACCATGTGAAGAAATAAAAATTTTAAAAATAAATTTATATTTAAAAATAAAATTTAACTAATTTTTAAATTTATTATTTTATTACATTATTAATTTTACATTAATTATATGTAAAAATTAAGAGAAAATAAACAGTTTTATTTAAATATAGTACAGTTCTCTCAAATAGAACTTTTTAGGTTTTTCCACAAAAATAGATCTTAAAACTAAAATAACCAAAACAACATTTTTTATTTTGAAAATTTCAATTTTTTTTTTTTTAAAAAATTGTAATTCTATCCCCAAAACCCTACTCCTCAACTTTAAACAAAAAAGTTTACGATTAGTTAACCCAAAGGATATAAGTGTATATTTACTTATTTTTGATAAAACATTTAAGTATATCTTGATCATTTTTATTTTCAGGTCTATATTTGTGATTAAAACTTTTTTTTAGGTCTATCTTAGAAAAAAAATTCTTAAATTTATATTTAATAATATATATGTATCTTTTCTCTTTTGGTTAAATTATATTAAATCAGATTCTATACTATTAATATAAAACTTTGTTAGATATATAATTATCAAAATATAAAACTAAATAATATTTCTAAAATTTATAGATGTTATAATTATAGCTAATGGTATTGGGATTAGAACATTTTAATTTTAAAAACAAACTGCATAAAAAAATTTTTAAAAAAAATTATTAAGAAAAAATATATAATTATAAAAATGCACTTAAAAATATTTCAATATTTGTAATATTATTATATTTATATTTATACTATTATATTATTTATTATCATAATGATAATTTTATGATTTCTCTTTCTTATCACTATTTTAATACAAATTTTTGTTTAATCAAACATAAAAAGTAATATAAAAATTATTTTTGTTTATTTTAAATTATATTTAAGAATATGCATGTATACATTTAAAATTATAATCTTAGATAATTTTTTTATCTATTTATTTTAATTAAATATATTAAATAAATTTGTATAAAATTTAATAATTATCAAAAATTAAAATTAGATAATATTTATTAAATTTTTAAATATATAAGAAATTAATGATTTTACGATTAAATTTATTAATTTTCAAAAAAATGTATACATTTTTGAAATTTCTGTAATAAAATTGTATAGTTTTAAAATATATAATTAAATGATATTTTCGAAATTTTTAATGCCATATTGGTATATATTTATTTTAATGATGATTTATTAGTTATTACCATATTTTAAAAATATTTCCAAAAATATAAATCGATATTAAATGTAATATATGAGTTGTTACCATATTTTATAAATTTTTCCAAAAATATATATTAACATTAAATGCAATTGTTCATGTCATATTTAATCATATGTCATGTCATCAATTCTAGTAGACACGTCACCATTTTTTTGTGAAACTGATTCTAGAGAGGACATGTGGCTAAATCACTTCACAAATAATATATAAGGGATTCTTATATACAAATTTAATTTATCATTAATGAAAATTTTATCATTTTTATTTAGACCTAAAAACTAATAATAATGAATTTCATTAATGGGCCGATTCTCTTTCATAAAATATTTCTTGCAAAAATATATTTTCTTTACGGATCAGACATGTCTCATTTTTTAATCGTAAAAATGATTCAATCCGCTGCAGAGTGGGTCAGACGAAGCGAGTTTGACCCGCTTCCCAACATCAGGTGTAGTTGATTAATATTATTTTTTCCAAATAAAACTACAAGATTATATACAATACATTGACATAGATATAGATGAAAATACTAAATTAAAATCTGCATTAATTTTAAAACGTTATATTAGATAGTGAAATTTTGTAACTAAATGATTTTATGAATTAATCACAAAACTAAAAAAAATGGGTTATTTAATTGTTAGAATTTTTCTCATGTACAAATTTGAGGTATAACCATCTCTATAATATTATTTGAGAAGTCACTTTCTTACGTGTCGCGCTCACATTAATTCTAACGCTGGTTGATTACTATGATACCCCTAATGAGTTAAAAATACAATTAAATATTTTTTTCCTTTTGAAAAATTTCCAAATCACAATATAAAATAAAAAGGAAACATTTTTAAAATTTACAAAACTATTTAAAAACGAAAATATAAGTATATATAATATGGTTTAATAAAAAAATGGAAAGTTCACAAAATAGTAATATTTAATTTAAATATATTTTAAAATAACATAAAAATACCTTTGAAGTAATAAAATATTTTATATCTATATCTTCTTAGATAAAAAAATATATGTAGATAATGTGATTTCATAAAAACATTTCACACAAAAAATAATGCTATTAGAAAAAAAATATTTTTTCTTTATATATATATTTTCAAAATAATTATTTTTGTATATCTATCTATTTTATTAGATGACTACATAAAATAATCAACTAACATAAACTGATATATGTTTAATTGCAATTTTTTTATAATTAGTATTATTGAAATTATTTTTTAGTATATTTATTTGACTATAATATCTTACAATTACAATAAACATATAAATTCTATTTTACTTATATAGTATAATTTCTGAAAAACATTCACTTTTTACTGACTATTTTAAGAGATACTAAAAATAAAACTAAAAATAAATTTAATAATAAAACATCTTTTGATCAATAACTAAAATTATTTTAAAATATCACAACACTATATTATTTAAAAAGGTAGATGTATTATATTTTAATAGTTAAAATTATCTGTTTTAAGAATAAGGATTCTGATTTACTTAAGTATTTTGATTATGGTTATATTAAGTTTCACAAACATAAAAACAGAAAATAACTACAATTATTTTAAAATACCATAACACTATATAATTTAACGAGGTAGATATATTATATTTTAATTTTTAAAATTATCTGTTTTCTTAATAAATCTTTTGATTTTTAATATTTCTGTTTTTTATGTTTGTGAAATTTAATATAACCATAGTCAAAATAATTAAGCAAATCAGAATCCTTATTTTAAAAATTATTTAAAATAAATTTCACTTTACCATCCAATCAATCTAAAGCATAAATTTGTTTTGAATTTATAAATTGTTTTAATTATTATAAATATTGATATGTGTTCAAAAGCTTCTAAAAATTCATTAGTTATTTATGTATATAATTTAGAATCAGACACTTTATTTTTTATTTTTTTTTCCTTCTAAGCACAAAAAAAAATCTTAAGTTATATATAATCTTACTAAATATACTTATATTTCTAAGATAACAACCAACATAAATGCAAATAAGAAAATTACTCAAAAATTTAATATATTTAAAATATAAAAAATTAGAGTTGAATTCAGAGAAATAGATAGAATCCAATATATCTAAATGATAACTAAATCGACCGTAAAAACAGTAAAATAAACTAAATATAACATATCTAAAATTATATATATAATTAAAGTAATATAATATTATAATATAAATTAGACATACAAAACTATAAATTAATTTAAAAATTAAAGTAAATATCAATCAATCATTATTCTATATAAATATACATGCCCGTGCATGAGCACGGGAAAATCACCTAGTTGTTAATATATTTTGAAACATAAAAAAATATATTTTGAAACATAATTTGTATGAGACATTGTAAAATAAAAATTTCTTTATACCCACATGATCACTTGATCTAGATTCTGTGACATTTTATATCATCAAAACAAAAAACTTATCAATTCATCTATAGATAAAACAACAAAAATAATACCCGCACTTTTTAAACGCAGATCAAAAATTTAGTTGACATTATATTTAATATAAGTTTTTTTGAGATTTTGAATGGAGCAAGTTTTTTTGAGATTTTGAATTTTTCAAATTCTATCAGATATCAATATATAATCGATTTGGTTCGGATTTACTTATACCCCAAAATACCATAAAGCTAGAGATAAGAAAGTAAGTCTAGCTAGACGTTGCATAAGAGTTTCACGCATCTGGATCAAACTGAACTAAAAAAAATAACAGATAAGAGTGTTGTTTTCAAATCGGGTAAATAGAACTCCAGGAGTGGTTGACCAAAAAAAAAAAAAAAAAACTCCAGGAGTGTTGTCTAGGTTGGCAAATAGGACTCCAGAATAAGTTTGGCTGGGGAGGGAGTTAAAATCTCCACGATCAGGTATGTGTATTTCAATTCCTTGTCTGCCTTGTCTCTAAACATCTCCGTGTACACTTTCCCGGCTCCGTGAGACCCACGGATGAAGAAGTTTACCTGAAAGCATGTTCCAATTTTGATTATGTTAAATGCCTGCCCTCTCAGTTTTGTCTATATTTCTACAGCTGCTCTATTATGTTAAATGCCCGAACAATCAAATTACCTCCACATGCTCTACTCCATCTTCATCTGTAAATACTCTGTTGGGTATGCGCTGACGAGCAGCTCGGTTTCTGGTTTCTTGTCCGTAGCCAGTGATGGGGGATCCAATCCTTACCCTCACCTACATAAACATAAGTCAAAATCTCAGCATCGTTGCTGCGCTTTGACTCTGCAAATGCACAAACACCGTTACCATAATGATCATCATCAGTCTATGGAGTTAGTAGTATCTTATTACCTGACCATCTTCTTGAATTCTCTTCAACGCTTTGTCAAAAACCTTGTACCTACAGTACAAATATAACGGTGTATATAGACACTATTCCAACTCCCAGATAATCATATAAATAAATAAAAAAAGAATGGAGTTGTGAAGGCTCTCACTCTTTTGGTTGAAATATGAGCTCTTTAAAGACAGCGTATCCAGAAGCTCCAGCAACCGCAAGACCAGCCAGAATAACAAAACTATAAGAAGCACCTTCTGTGAAGGTCACCGGCTTCTCCGGGATATGGTACGTAGGAGAATCAAAAGGATCCTCCACAGTCGTCACCTCTTTCTTAGCCTGTAAAATATACATATATACATTTTTTTAAATGTCTATACCCGGCAGGCAAGCAAAGCATATCGGGATAAGTTGCATGTGTTTTTTTATGCCCCCTCAGCGTGAAAAATGACATATACACAGAAGACTTGTACGATGAAACACAAAAAAAAAAAAAAAAAAAGGATGGAAGTCAGAAGCATATTTCTTATTAACACACCTTATTGTGCTGTTTCCTAGGTTCTTTAGAAGTTTCTGATGCAAAAGATCTAGATGAGCAAGACGGCTTGATGTTCTTTGGTTGCCGATTACGGAAAAGTCCTGCAAACAAACAAATCACGGCTAGAACAAGCACTAGGATTTGAAGTTTCATTAAACATTATTTTCGCTGACCCTTAGCTCCATTAGAATCCTGCAGCACAGTGAGAACTATTAACAAACAGTTATTATGCCAAAACAGGGAGTAGGCAGCAGCTAAACTAACATCTTACCACAGTCATGAGACCCGAATCAACAATGGATGCTCCACTTTTTGTCAACTGCACAGGAATAAAAAAAAAGCGCATTTTGTACTGAAAACTTGTAGAAGAAGAATCAACAGCTGAAAACAGTTTACAGAGAAAAGACAAACCGATTTTGGGATTCCAGAGGCGGAGGAAAACGAAGCCATTTTCGATTTGCATAGGCTTCCGATGAATCTCCTTGTGAGGTTCATCATCTCTGGAAAGATAGGAGGAGAAATCTCTTTGATGGCACAAATGTTCAGCAGATTGAGAACATGAATGATTGAAGAAGGGAAGCTTACGAGAGAGAGAGAGAGCGCTCGCGTCGGAGAAGAGAGAAAGCTCGCGTCGGAGATTGAGAGAGAGGTTGAGAAGGAGAAGTAGAAGGAGAGAGAGGCTGAGATGAGGCTGAGAGCTCAAGCACAGATCGAAGGATGGCGATGGAGAAGCGGCTGAGATGAGAAGAAGAAGAGCTGCGTCTAAGTCAAATTAGGTTTAGGTATTTTTGTGAATAATGCAATACTTTTTTTTTTGTCCGCGAATAATGCAATACACTAAGGGTGAATATGTAAAATAATAATATCTCTGACGCAGCTCTTTTTTCGGCGTTTAACTTTTGTGGAAGCCCCCTTGGTCCAGTGGTTTAACTAAGGGTTCATTAATGCTTCTACACCAGCAGGTATGGGGTTCGAATCCCAGAGAAGACAGAATTATGCGAATTAGTGGAGAAAGGCTTACAAGAGATCTGCAGCATGGCACAAGGAGTACCGTCAAGCGTGGATCTGATAGGGTGGCTCAGGTGATGCAGTTAGGAATGCGTGAATCCTCATAAGATAGGTATAGAATTGTCGGTTGTTGAATCGTCTGTAACATTTCTCGTAGTTTGTAATGGCATAATTATCCAGTGTTAAAAAAAAAAACTTTTATTGACTTGCGTTTAATTTTTATTGACGCAAAACCGCAGTGTTTAGACACAGACGCAGTAACGGCGTTAACGAAACGAACAAGAATTTTTTTAAACATTATTTAGGTGGTGCTTTCCAAGGTAAATTAGAGGAGAGAGAGCTTTGATCTGATCTGTTACCAAAGCCCCATGGTCAGGGTAGTTAAGCTCAAACCATATTTTAGACTAGGTTCGCGCATTCGGTGGCCCATTCGGTTTCGGATGATTTGAATTTTTGGATTTTCGGTGTTATGTTTATAAGTACCATTTGATTTTTAATAATTATCGGATCGTGTTCGGTTTGGTTTCTTCCAGATTCAATTCAGATCGGATCTAACCAATATTTAAAATCGTCCAAAAATATGTTTTCTAAAACCTCAAAAATTGATTAAAAATCAAAATATATAAAGTATTTACAAATCTAATTAAAAATTAGTTAAACTGTCTAAATTAACTAAAAATATTCAAAATAACAAATAAAACAAACTACAAAAGTATTTGGAATACTCTAAAATATCTAAATTACCTTAATATATATAAAAATATTAACATATTTAACTAATTTCGGATACCTTCATATCCTAATTCAGATTTTGGTTCGATTCAGGTTATAACTAAAGTCCAAACACTACAAGAAAACTAAAATTTTACTAGGAATTATCTAGGAAATTTTACTAGGAAAATAATTCCTCGTAAATTTACTACGAGCTTACTTTGGGTTTACGAGGAAAACAAGTTTCCTCGTAAAGTTACGAGAAAACAATTTCCTCGTAAGACCGTAGTAAACTTACGAGGAAAATATGTGGCAAAAGATCATTTCCTCGTAAGCTCGTAGTAAATACTTTCCTTGTAAAGTCCTAGTAAATCTTTACTACGAAATTAGGAGGAAATGATCTTTTACTTCAAATTAGCGAGGAACTTGATAGAAAATATCTAATTTAAATCTAAAACGTGTTTTGTACCTACTTTTCCTAGCAATTTCCTAGCAAATGCTCAGATTCAAAAATTTCTATAAGTACCACCATTTGTGATTCATTTCAAACACACCAAAAAAAATCAGCTTTAAGCTTGATCAAAGACAAAAAAAATGTCTGGTCCGGGAAATATTTTCGAGTTACGGAAGTGGATGTATTCACACAGAGATAATAACGGGAGAGTGACGAAAGAATTTCTCGAAGGGTTGGAGACGTTTATGCACCACTCACGCAGAAAAGTGGTAAGATGTTATGTCCTTGTCGGAAATGCTGCAATACAAAATTAGGCCCTCGGGAGAATGTTTGGAAGCATTTAATAAATAGAGGTTTTATGCCATATTATTATATTTGGTATCAACATGGAGAAGATGCTAGTTGTAGGAATGAAGGTAGCAGTAGTAATAACAATTTTAGGTTGAACCGGTTGATCATTTGCGTAATGAAAATAGCTATCATCACCAAGAGGAACAAATGGTAGATTGTGATAGGGTTCATGATATGGTAGGTGATGCATTTGTAACTCATGATGATGATGAAGTTGAAGAACCTAACTTAGATGCAAAAAAGTTTTATGAAATGTTAGAAGCTGCGAATGAGCCAATTTACAGTGGTTGTATAGAAAGTCTGTCTAAATTGTCATTGGCTGCTAGAATGATGAGTATTAAAACCGATCACAATCTACCTGAAAATTGTATGGATGCATGAACAGACTTGTTTACAGAGTATTTGCCAGAAAACAATGTGTCTGCTGAATTTTATTATCAGATTCATAAATTGGTATATAGTCTTGGGTTGCCCTCAGAGATGATAGACGTTTACATCGACAACTGCATGATTTACTGGAGAGATGATGAGAAGTTAGAAGAATGTCGATTTTGTAAGAAGCCACGATTCAAACCGCAAGGTCGAGGGCGTATTAGGGTACCGTATCAAAGGATGTGGTACCTACCAATCAAAACAGGCAGATTGAAAAGATTGTACCAATCTGAGGAAGCTGCTGGAGGGATGAGATGGCACGCCGAGCATACTCAGACGGATGGAGAGATGACTCATCCATCAGATGCAAGAGCCTGGATACATTTCAACAATGTATATCCACATTTCGCTAGCAATAGCCGGAATGTGTATCTTGGATTATGCACTGATGGATTTAGTCCATTTGGAATATCAGAGAGACTATTTATTGTGGCCGGTCTTTCTTACATCGTACAACCTGCCACCTAAGATGTGCATGCGACGAGAGTTTCTATTCTTGACCATATTAATATCTGGTCCAAAGCATCCAAAAAGATCTCTCGACGTTTTTCTAAAACCACTGATAAAAGAGTTGAAAGATTTGTGGTCAACAGGGGTGAGGACATGATTGTTTAACGAAAACAAACTTTACGATGTGAGCGATGCTTTTGTGGACCATAAATGACTTTCCTGCATATGGGATGTTGTTTGGGTGGAGTACATAGGAGATTAGCTTGTCCATATTGTAATGGAATGACAGATGCGTTTCAGTTGAAGCATGGTAGGAAGATTAGTTGGTTCGATTGTCACCGTCGATTCTTCCCGGTTACCACCCATACCGAAGAAACAAGACATTGTTCAGGCACAAAAGGGTTGTCAGAGACACTCCTCCTCCATATTTAACTGGAAAACAAATCGAAGCGCAAATCGATTACTACGGTGCTCTAGAAATAGCTCCTCGTGGTGGGAATTGGCATGTTCCCAGTAATATGTCTGATTCTTATGGTGTTCAGCACAATTGGCAGAAAAAGAGTATATTTTGGGAATTTCCATATTGGAAAGATCTTCTTTTGCACCACAACCTCGATGTGATGCATATAGAGAAGAAATTTTTTCAGAACATTGTGAAAACTATATTGAATGTCCCAGGGAAGACGAAAGACAACGTAAAATCGAGGTTGGACTTACCTGATATCTACTCAAGTAGTGAGCTACATATAAAAAGCAATGGGCAAGTTCCAGTTTCGATATTCAGACTGTCATCAGAAAAAAAGTCTGCGTTGTTCAACTGTTTGGCTTCAGAAGTGAAGTTTCCTGATGGGTACGTTTCAAATCTCTCAAGATGTGTTGAGAAAGAGCAAAAGTTCTCTGAGATGAAGAGCCATGATTGTCATGTCTTTATGCAGCGACTACTTCCATTTGCATTTGCGGAGCTACTACCGGCAAAAATACATGAAGCACTTACAGGTAATTAATATAATACGACGCAAAGATTAATTTATTTCTTTATATATATATATATATATACTAATGTGTATAATTTTTGTATTTTAAATATATAAGGAAGTGAAGCATTTTTTAGGGATCTGAGCACCCGCACTCTTAAAGAGGAAGTTGTCCAACAACTTCATGAAAACATCCCCATCTTAATCTGCAACTTGGAGAAAATATTTTCGCCTACTTTTTTGACATCATGGAACCCCTAGTTATCCACCTCCCATATGAGGCATTACTTCGTGTACCTGTGCATTATGGATGGATGCATCAGTATGAAAGGGCCATGAAAACTTTGAAAGGAAAAGCCAAAAACCTTGCAGGAGTTGAAGGTTCTATTGTTGCGGGAAGTTTGACGGAAGAAACATCACATTTCACATCGTACTACTTTGCACCGAAAGTACGTACAAGGAAACGAGCTCCAAGAAGATATGATGATGGTGGTGTCGTGCCGACATATATGGAAGACGATGTTCCAGACATCTTTTGTCAAATTGGGCGATTGGGTGGGAAATTAAAAGAGGTTTGGTGGTCGAGTGATGAAGACAACCATAGTGCACACCCTTATATTCTTCTTAATTGCGAGCATCCATTGATTGGTTATTTTGAAAGGTAAATATATAAACATACACACTTATATATATATATATATATATATATATATATATATATATATATATATATATATATGTATATATATATATATATGTATATATTTCAATATTAAATAACATAACATATATGATTTTACAGCCAATTTGTGATTCAAGTCGAAGAAGCAATACCTAGTATATCAACAACTGAGTTAGACAAAAGAAAATATCAACACTTTATCAAGTGGTTGAGGAAACAAGTATTTATTATAGCTTAAATTTTATGCAAATATTACCACAAAGTAAGTCTAATGTCTAATTCTATTACTTTTTTCCAGGTTGATTATGACGATCATGAGTATCCCGCATGGTTTCGCGAATTACTTCAAGGTCCAGTTTCAAAGGTCATTGCATCATCGATGTATTTCACCCGAGGCTATACTTTTCATACCTATGACTATGGTAGACATCGGGCGACAAGTAATTATGGAATATGTGTGAAAGGCGAAACAGATTTCTACGGGATCTTTCATGAGATTTATGAAGTTCAATTCCCAGGTATGAGTTTGAAATGCGTTATCTTCAAGTGTGAGTGGTACGACCCTGTCGTCAACAGAGGTGATCGGATTAACAAGAACGGTGTAGTTGATGTCAATGGTAGACGAAGGTACAACAAATTCTTTTTTTTCTTTTACATCCAGGTTTTGAGTATTAATTAATTTCTACGTTGTCTTTGTTTTTGCAGGTACAACAAGTTCGAGCCTTTCGTATTAGCTTTCCAAGCAGATCAAGT